TCTGTCTGTCTGTCTGTCCGTCCGTCCGTCTGTCTGTCTGTCAGTCTGTCTCTCAGTCCTGCTTTACCTCATCCCTCAAGATGCACTCCCCTCACTCACCACTGCCAACCTTCTCGTCCAAAAACTTGAGTATCGGCAACACATCCCGGGGGCGATCACTGAAGTCTGAGGCCTGCTTCACAAACGATTCCTGAGTGAAAAATACACATTGCTATACACATGCAGCAAGATACGAAGCTTGTCATCTTCACTCAACAATTCATGTGTTTAAAATTCAAATTATTATACTTATTATACACACCTACATCGAGATATGAATCTGATTATCTTGTCTTGTAACAATTCATGTGAATGAAATACACGTATCTTGACACGAAAATGATCATCTCGTCTCAACGATTCCTGTGTCTAAAATACACATTACTATACCCGTGCATCTAGAAAAGGATGTGTTCGACACATGTTTTCTCTCAACGATTTCACCTTCTAAAACACTCAATACCACACATTTGCATCTAGATCTAGATACAAAACTGATCCACGATTCCTGCGTTTATTAAAATACACATGATTAAACATCTGCACCGAGACTCTAATCTGATCATCTTGTCTTTATCTGGGCATCTACTTTCAGTTTTGTCCAGCAAATGAAATATTGTTTAATTCCTCCCAGCATGACCCGACCCAGTGACAGAAATATGCAATATTTGACCCATGATAAGAGAAGTGTCACATGTGCTCAACCTGTACTTTTTCATTATGGGAACCTTATTCAACAACAATGGTTTATATGATGTGATGTAGGCCAATGGCCTTTAACACTAAATAAACTTATAATACTTACAAAACTCCATGTGTTTTAAATACACGTTACTACACACCTGCATCTAAGATAGGAATCTGATCATCATGTCTTTATCTCGTCATCAGGCGCACTCTACCTAGTCGATTGAGTGAGTCCGATGTTTGTGCCCCTCTTTAGAACTACACAAACCATTTTCTTTCCCCCTGACCTTCTGTCTATCCAACTATATACCAATCTGTCCATCAGACTACTGGACCATCTAACCATCTGTTTATCTGTCTGACCATCTGACTGACCATCTGACCATGCTGTATAAGAGACGGCATTCTAGCCGACTGACAGAGAGACAGACCCACACACCTTAAACTCTCCCCTCCCCCTCTATCCCTCCACCCACCCTCTCTCCCTTCCCTCTCTCCTCCCCCTTCCCCCACTCCCGCACCCACTCACCTGCATTATCTTGGCATCACTGATGAACACCATAATCATCCGACCTAGCTTGGAACTAAAAATAAATGAGACCATACTGTTGACAATCTGTCTGCTAATTTGACAGTCTCTCTGACTTTCTGACAGACCATCTGATCATCTGACCATCTTGCTACTGACCACCTTGCCATATTTTTGACCATTTCCCTGACCATCTGATTATCTGTCTGATTATTTGACCATCTGCTCCCATCTGACTATCTTACCATCTCTCTGACCATCTGACCATGGTGAGTAAGAGACGACAGCCCTGCAGACAGACAGACAGGTGCACACACACCACAACCTCTCCCCACC